AAAAAAAAAGGTCAAGGGTGATTGGGGCGGGGAAGGTGGGGGGAGGTCTCTTGCTCGAAGGGAGAAAGTCTGATGCAAGGCCTCCTCCTCGTTGCCGTGCCCCGCCCCCTCCACCAATCACACGTCATCTTGTCCTCTGAGAGGCAGGAACCAAATCGGAACAGCCATAGGCGTCCCGAGGGACCCTGCGGGAGGTGCGAAAACAAATGACGGCCTCGCTTGCATAACGCGCGGCGCGCGCGACTTTTGAATTTCCATCAGAACAATACTCCACTCACTCCCTCCCCTCCTCCCTTTATGCCCCTCCTGGCGTCGTCGTCGTCGTCTCGAGTGAGGAGTGTGTTCCGTTACCGAACAACTCATTAAGCGTACCGCAGGGGGCCCGCCCAGGCACGGTGGGTTGGTATCTTTATTGGCATATTGCAGGGTAGGAAGAGTTTAAGCTATATTATAACTGCCCTCTCGCGGCATATTCGTTTTGGAGGGGGTAATAATGTCTTTAAGAGAGTAACTTGCTACTCACGATAGGCCATTGCCTTATACTGAGTAATAGTGTTGAATCGATTCTGGCCCCTTTTCTACAGCAGAGTACTTTCGAGTCTAACCATGCACGCATACGCCACATCGATAATTAACTGGAAAGCGTCTCTTATCCAAATTGCATCGAACAAGGGTGAAAGTCTGCTCACGAGTCGTTTTTCTTTTCCTTGTTTAAATTGGCGTTCCACTGCGCCTAGTTGTTTGGGCGTGCAAGCTGTTTCCTTTCGTTTGCGTGGTCGTTATGTGAAGAACTCCGATCGATACCTCGAGCGGATACGTTGGTGCTTCCTGTCGATCGTACCGGACTGTTAAGCCGGCCAAGTATGAAAAGTGCACAGTAGATATGGATCTGAAGCTTTTCGAGTGTTGGAGCTGGTTGTTATCTTTACCCGCCCAAGGAAACGAATAATTAAAGATTGTGTGACATAAACGTAGGCGTAATTCTCAGTCAGTCAAGGTAATCTGGAGCACGGGTTCATCTATAGATGTTAACACCCAGGTCCAAACACTCGGTAATTCGCTTGCACATCGTTTTTTGTTTTTTTTTAGCAGCCGATCCCCCTTGACATAATTACGGTAGTGTTCACTATGGCGTCACCCAGAACGCGTCCCCCGGAACATCCTCCGCGCTGACCTGGCGAGCACTTTCACTCAAGGTCATAAGCAGAGCCGAGTCCCTGGCCCCCTGGCTCCTCAAGGTCACGGAGCCTCTCGCGCCGCCGGCGTCGTGTAGTTGGTACCACTGCATGATAATGTGAGGGGGGGGGGGGCAGACTGCATACATGCTGTTGTGTTGGTATCACCACGTCGTGATATACTCGGGGCTAGCCTTCACACTGAGTGTTGTCGGTTCTGAACGGTGAGGCTATTTCTTTGGTGAAATGAAGTGGGAATGGGCAGCATAATAGCCTATTGCTGCTGAAGTCATGTATGTTTGTGCTTGTTGTCTCTAGAGCTGGATATTCTATCCACGTCCATGACGTGTCCTAGAGCATTTTCTGTCTATAAAACAGACAAGACCAATGCATTGAAATTTCTTCATTTTGTCCGTTGCTTGTGGGGGCAGAGAGAGGCAAAGACACGCCTCTGCCTTTTTAAAGAAACGAGACTCGTTATGGTTGTTGCGGTGGGCACGCGTGACTACTTTGGCTGCTCTGGGCAAGCGTCACGAGCTCTAACTGCAGTGGGGCTGTCGTGGTTTTCGCCTGCCTTCTGACCCGGCAGGGCAACCGGTGCGGTACCAAGAGGAACGAACTCGGCACGACAAGGCGAAGCGTTACGCATACTATTGCGGACGCATAGCACTCGTCACGATTCCTTATCATTATTGTCACTTTGGTTATTTCTACGGCTGTCGCCCCTCGTTAATGTTGCTGTGCCTTGTTGTTTCAGGATGCTGCGCCCAGCAGCAGAGCAAGGCCCAGCGTCAGCAGGTCGAGGACCCGTGCCAGAACAAAGCCCGTGTCGTTTCCGACGCCACATACTGCGATAGGTGAGTGCATAAACGGTCAAACAAAATAATCCACTATAATAAAGATCAGTTTGATGTTCTTCAGAAAAAGAGAGTGCCAATTTTTATCAAGACAGCTCTCTCCCTTTTTGTGTGTGTTAAGGGCAGACAAGGGTGAGGGGCAATTCCTGAAAAAATGGTAAAAAAACGTCCGTCAGTGACGGCATTTGTGAGCGACTAAGAGGTGCTACAGGTTGTTGAAGCACATGACTAGACGCGTCTTTGCAAGACGCTGCTAGGGACGTACGGCTACCGTACGTAGCACCTCTCAGTCGCTCACAAATGCCGTCACTGACGGACAAGCCTGTCTGGAATTGTCCTGAGACTGTATCTAAGAATACAAATTCCTGTTCCTTTTTTTTGCATGCGGCAATATACAATAGTTTCGTATCAGTGATATGGTTAAAAAAGACCCAGATTATCCAGACTACAGTATTTTGCACGGATTTTTAAAAGAGTGTCTTTCGTTTCCTTGCGAAGCTGTCGTAACGCTTACAGTGTTGAGCATTAAGTATGTAATATGGGTGTGACATGTGTGGCAAAACGGAGAGGCGCCGCAGTGTCGCAACGCGATTGTGTGCATGGGTTGGCTGCACTGGGTGGGGTCCCGTTGTTGTGTGCGGTGGCACAGTGTTGGCCGTACTGCTGCTGGGCGGGGTCCCGCACTCGTTGTGTCCCTGCAGCACCACCACACCGCCTCCCGACTTCAACTCAAATGAAGGACGCGACACGCCGTCAGTCGGGCCTGGCCGTTTGTGTGACTGAAGTGCCCCTCAGCACGCGAAGCTTCGCGAAGAAGCAATCCCACAATATCCATTGTCGAATTATCCGGGGCGGAGGCCGCGCTGATTTGTCGTCCCTAACCTATATCCTTCTTCCTAACCTCACTCACCCCTCCCCTCCGCCCTCTCGACGATGTCGCGACCAGCTTGGCGTCCTTGTCCCGGAGAGGAGATGCTCCGTCTGCACGCACACACACACACACGCACACATTCTCACACGCGCACACACACTCGCCCACGGCCTCACACAAACAGCGCTTCTTCAGGCCGTTCAGGGGTGCGTTATGGCCACTGCCGTTCCCGATCCCAAACGCGCTTTCGATTGCGTTATGTCCCATGCCATCCTCGCGACGCGGTAAAGAGCAGCACAACACCTTGAGAGCAATTTTTCAAATTTAATTGATGGCGTCTTACCTGAAAAAAATGTTAGTTTTTCGTGATTTGAATTTTGAATTTCTAGAGAGGCCGTTGGGAAATCCTAGAGGATTTTGGAAATACAATAATTCATGGCTACTTTGTAAAAGCCCAGACATTGTTTTAACAATGTAGTTATCAAACTTAACCAAACTTAAACAAAGTTTACTCCTGGCATTAATTGTTGATTCTTTCCGCTCTGCAGGTACTGGGAATGCGTCAACGGCCAGCCAGAACTGTACGACTGCCCCAACGGCTTGGTGTTCGCCGGCAAGCACCGGGGAGTGACCGAGGGTTGCGACTACCCCTGGAGAGCCAACTACTGCGAGGACAAGCAGCTCGCAAGTGAGTACGGAAATCCGAGTGATCCTTTCCTTGGCGTCAGCCTCAAAGTCGAGTCGAGGGGTATAACGCCGCTACCGCTTCAGCCCGAACTATTTAGTGTTCTAGGTGTGCAATATATAATTCTAAATGTGCTCCATCTCACTTTCAGACGGTCCTATCAGCACGGAGCACTGTGACTGGCTGTACGGCATCTTCGGCCACGAGTCCTCGTGCACCAGGTACTGGACATGCTGGAACGGCACCGCCACTGAGCAGCTCTGCATCGGCGGTCTGCTCTACAACGAGGACACGCACTCCTGCGACTGGCCCGACAATGTCGACGGCTGCCAGAAGCACCGTAAGTACCGACAGAGATTGTCAACTCGGTAACCACAGAAATTCATATGCGAGAAAGTGATCTCGATGACCCGCAGATCCACTAAAAACGTATGACCTTTTCAAATTCACAATTCTATTCATAATTTACGTTTGAAAACAAGGGTAACTTTTATGGACGTTCTCCTAATTTCAATACTTTCGACTTTACCATTCCTCGAAATTAAAGTATTTTCCGTGAAAAAGAAAAATTTTCGAAAAATGAACGAATCGACCCTTTGTATGTGACACGGGAGGCTTGCGCGCCTGTCCGCCGCCCCGCCATGCAGGCGCCGGTGCCGTTTGGGCTGCCTGCCCGCTAGGGGCGCCTCACGTACGCACCGCTCTCATACTCTCTCTCTCCCCCTCACGCTAGCCCTGTGCGTGGAGGACGCCAACGGCAACGTGCCCCTCGGCAAGTCGTGCAACCGGTACTGGCAGTGCCAGGGTGGCTACCCGCGCCTGCAGCGCTGCCCGGCCATGCTCGTGTTCGACCGCCAGAGCCTGAGGTGCGTCGTGCCGCCCACCGAGGACTGCGACATCCCCACCACCCCGGCGCCGTCCCCCGAGGACGCCGACGAGGACCGCAACCGCAACAGCAACGACGACGCCGACAACGGCCCGGCCAACTACCCCCAGCAGCCCCCGATCCGCCAGCAGCAGCGGCCCCAGCAGCAGCAACAGCAGCAGCAGCGACCCCAGCAACAGCAGCAGCAGCAGCAACAACAACCTCAGCAACGGCCCCAGCAGCAGCAGCAGCAACAACAACAACAGCAGCAGCAGCCACGTCAGCAGCAACAGCAGAGGCCCCAACAGCAGCAGCAACAACAGACCAGGCGGGAGCAGGTGCAGGTGCTGCCCAACCAGCAGCAGTCCAGCAGCGGCCGCACCTCTGGCACCATCAACATCCACGTGCCCCCGGGCGCCATCCCCCTGCCCGTCAGGCCCGGCTCCGGGGCGCGCGCGCGAGCCAACAACAACAACTAGTCACTAGTTCGCTGTTATTGTTGTTTTTGTTGACGTTGTTCGCCGACGCCGTCGTGAAGCCTCGCCCGGAGGGGCAGACCGCGTGCCGGACCAGACTGAGGTCGCGATTTTACACTCCTACCAATTTCCTATGCTTTCAGAGCTTTTCCGAATCGAGACCTTAGGCTGGTTGGACTATTTCCTCGCCTCCGACCTGTGCCTCACTAGATTGTGGTGCCCCTCCCGGTCGGTGCAGTACCTTGATATACAGTACCTTGTTGTACAGTCCCTGCCATGATCCCGAACCTGGCGCCAGGCGTCGGCCTACCATTGTGCTGTGTGAGTTTGTTGCAGCGAGTCTCCGTGTGTTAGTGAATGATGAGTGAAAGTCTGATTGTTTGCATGTGTGTGTACGTGTTTTTTTTATGTGTGCGCGAATGAGCTCTCCCCCTTGTCTGACTGTCCCTTTTACCTGGCTGTCCCCATGTCCCACTGCCTCTCACCTGCCCACCCACACCCGCCATTTCTGCCAAAATATTTTTTGGGCACGACAAAACTAGGAAAATCAAACTTTGTACCATATGACTTAGTTTTAGGATTTTTTTAAGAAAATAAAAC